TCATGGACGATGACTCCCACCTACTCAACCAATTTGGCAGCCCGGGCGTCGGGGTAGGCGCAGTCTCAAGTGTTTCTGTCAATGGACAACCGATTCACGGCGCTGATATGTCCGGTGATGTTGACATGGATTTGGGCGACCAGCTCCACGCTGGTACCAATGGCCAGGCCAACGACTGGGTAATGGTAAACAATGAGAGCAAAGACCATGGCCCGGTCGGTGAAGATTTCGACTTTACCAACATCGACAGTGCCGGAGACGCCTTGGCGGCTTATAGCGAGCAGAACGATGGTCTTGACTTGCCAGATCTGGAGAACTCGGCGTTTGGCGACGCATTCCATGCATCTGACAATGAACACTCGCACAACCCTGATGCGGACGACATTTCCTAGTCTGGCCCGAGATCTTTTCACATGGAAGTTTTTTAGTTTTTTAGTTTTTTAACGAATGATTCTGCGGATCAGTCATTCTGATCTGTTTCAGGCGTTGCGGCTTGCTGTTCGGGGGTCTGGATTTTATGCAGGATTAGCTGGTTGTGTACCATAAGATTGGCCAGGAAGACTTCTGCTTCCTCTGGCCATGCGAATTTCTTTTTCCTTTTTTTTTTTTTTTTTTTGTTGCCTCTAATTGAGAGGATAGAGGGTGGGATCTTTCATGAATTTAATCCCTATTTTTCACCTCGTCTTCCACTTTAGGTATAATCGAATGAGATGTTTCCCCATAAGGAAGGTAGCAGTTGTGTCCACGCATTTTCAAAATCTGAAAATAAAAAGGGCACATTAATATCTTGTGTATGATTATATATTCAATGTACTTATGAAGTGCATGGAATATCTATGGATAATATCATGATTAGTTAACTAATAGTCTGCAGATCTAGTGATGCTAGTATATTGATATACGCCAAGGGTGGAGAATGACGATCAACTCTAGATATTTTCATGACAGATATAACTCAAGAAATTTAAAGACCATCACCACTCGCGACTATTCTACAACGTTAAGCTTGAAATGTCCGCAATCGGAAAGGTGCGTGCATGAACAGCTCAACTTGACATCCGTCCATCCCCGTTCATGACGTCAGTCACCGGGACTGCACTTCCTCTGGCAAAGAAAAGAGACGCGCTGGAGAGAAATAGGGTTCGTCACCATCGTCATCTATAGGAAGGCGCTGCCGACTTATCATAACCTCCCCCAGATTCAGTTTTTCTCGGTTTCTCATCTTAACATATCTCCTCTACCATAACTCTAACTTGTATTGATTGACTATATCTACATACAAGAAACAATATGTATGTATCCTATATTCTCAGCACGTCACTTTGGCTAAACCAAAGTCTAGGAACCGCAACCTCTCATTCCGCTCGCGCAAAGAGCCCCCCCGCCAGCGGTTTAGCATCTCCACTTTCCGTGGGATGCAAGCGCCGGAGCTCAGCCGCAAAATGACCAAGCTGATCAAGAGCGAGAATAGCGCCATCGGCGCCCACGAAGCTGCCGGTCGTGAGCGCACCTCGATCGCCGCCCAGCTCTCTGAATGGGGCGAGTCGACCGAAGACGACAATGTCTCCGACATCTCCGACAAGCTCGGCGTCCTGCTTGCTGAGATCGGCGAACAGGAAGACAGCTTTGCCCAGAACCTCGAGGACTACCGTGGTATCCTGAAGCAGATTCGCAACATGGAGGCCTCGGTGCAGCCATCACGCGAGCAGCGCCAGAAGGTCACTGACGAGATTGCCAAGCTCAAGTACAAGGATCCTTCGAGCCAGCGTCTGGTCACGCTGGAGCATGAGCTTGTCCGAGCTGAGGCTCAGAACTTGGTTGCTGAGGCGCAGCTGTCTAACATCGTACGTTTGATTCTGATTTCGTTCCTGTTCTTGTGTGGCGTGTGAGGTTAGTTTGGACCGGCTGACATTCATGCCACCTGCAGACTCGCCAAAAGCTGAAGGAGGCCTACGATATCCACCTGGCGGCCGTTATTGAGCGCGCCGAGAAGCAGACCATTCTGGCTCGCCATGCTCGTCGCCTGCTCAACTACATTGACGACACTCCTGTTGTTCCCGGTGATGCACGCCAGGCGTATGACCATGAGCTCTCGGCTCGCCAGATCCTCGAGGATGCCGAGAGTGATCTCCGTCAATGGGAACCTAGCGTTGAGCCTATCACCACCGCTGCGGGCCGGGAATCTCCGGTTCACGCCAACGGCGTCAGTGGTGTCCACGGTGCCGGTGTCAATGGAATCGATGATGTGTCGGAGCGTCAGTCCGATGTTCTCGAGAATGTGTCTGTGACTGAGGGTTTCACCGAACCAGTGGGTAGCGGTGCCCTGCCCGCGAAGATGGTGGTTGAGCCTGCGCCTGCGTGATCTTTTCAATCCTTCCCAGAGGTCTAGTGGTCTCCTATTTAGTTTGACACGGACATACTTCAGCTGTTGTGTGTAAATTCGGTTTTTCGCCTCAGATTGGGCACCAAACGTTGGAGAGGTGTTTTCGGGAAAGGCGTTGGCTGGCACTGAACGTGGGGGGTCTATACTCAGGAAATATGCAAATTGTGTATTGTAAAGTTTAATTCGCTAATTCGTTAATTCGTTAATTCATCGTTTTATTTATTCCTTTTCTTCCAATTTCTCCTAAAAATGATATCAAATGAATACTCCGTATCGCGATTTGTAGAGCATGCACGTGACCACAGGCGCCAGAGTGACGCGGAAACCCCGAGCTTCAGCGGAGCTTCAACCATCACTTGCCTGTCTCACCAGAATCCCTTTCACGTCTTTCCAGCATCTTTTTTCTAATTTTCTCCTTATTCTCTCTTACTTCAGCACACAATGGATAAGCTTGTTGCCCAATACTCGCGCCCTCCCCATCAGAATGAGATGTACTCAGAGCAAGAGCAGCAGGACCTCACTGCGAGCGTCCCTCCGCTCTCGCTGAAGTTCAGCCTTCCTCCTGTCGACAACGTGAGTTCCTAATGAATATCGGGGGTAGATTCTCTTTGATCTGGATGGCGGTTTGGTCGGGGGATGTACGTCTATCCTGACGTCAACCTAAGCTGCGCCGTCATCACAGCTATGTCTAAGAGAATCGCTCGCCGGAACCTATCTATGATTGAGGCAGGCGAAATATTGGACTGACGCTGATTTCTTGTATCTAGCACTCTGCTTTCCTGCGTGCCATGACCGATGACCACTCCAATCCTAGCTGTCCTATCAAGCTCGCTCATGGCACAACAACCCTGGCCTTCCGGTTCCAGGGCGGTATCGTACGTTTTGCTATATTTCGGCTATACCATGGTTTTCTCGATTTAGGAGCATGTTTGGGCTAATGCATATATCGGGTTAGATCGTGTGTACCGATTCGCGAGCAACAGCCGGCAACTGGATTGCCAGTCAGACAGTCAAGAAGGTCATTCCTGTATCGCGGTTGAGTCGGGGCGAGGACAAGAAGTCAAACGAGCCGACGCCAGGTCTCCTGGGAACGATGGCCGGTGGTGCAGCTGTAAGTTTGGGCCGCAAGTGATGATGGCGAGTGGTGGTGTGATGGACGTTGGTTGCTGATGGTTGTTGCGAATTGCTAGGATTGTCAATATTGGTTGCGGTATTTGAGTCAGCAGTGCACTCTGCATGGTAAGTTCAGCTCGATTCTTGATATTTGCAACGCGTGGAAGGACATTGCTGATGAATTTCTATCTAGAAATCCGACACAAGCGCCGTATCACTGTTGCGGCCGCATCCAAGATTCTTGCCAACCTCACTTACGCCTACAAGGGATACGGACTTAGCATGGGAACTATGTTAGCAGGAGTATGTCCCATACATCATTCATATCCATGACATTTGGAAACTGACAATGAGATCTAGATGACGCCCCAAGAAGGACCTGCCCTGTACTACATCGACTCCGACGGCACCCGTCTCCCCGGTAACCTATTCTGTGTTGGATCCGGTCAAACTTTCGCTTATGGTGTGCTGGACGCCGAGTACAAATACGAGCTGACTGAGGAGGAGGCATTGAACCTCGGCCGCCGAGCCATTCTGGCTGCCATGCACCGTGATGCCTACTCCGGTGGTTTCATTAACCTGTACCACGTCAAGGAAGAGGGATGGGTGCACCACGGATTCGATGACATGAACCCTATCTTCTGGGAGACGAAGCTCCAGAAGGGCGAGTTCTCCAACGTGACATCTACGTTGTAAACGGGTTAGCGGAATGAATTTGTGTATGTAAACTGAGGACCTATGAATTACCTTTTCTGGTTGGTTTGCCTTCTGAGGTTTAACATAATACGCCGTCAAACCTCCCCAATGCTCGAAAGACCAATTCCCCCTTTCTCATTTTTTCCATTCTTCCTACATATCCATCGTATAAGGCCAGTAATTGGATAATATGAGGGACTCTACAGAAAGGAGGGAACTGTAGACGGTGCACTCTTGCTGACTTTAGGCAAAAAGGTCGAATCACAGTGGGTCAAGAGATCGAGATATCCTCCACCCATTAAAAAGGGTTCTCCAACATCGGGACTTGTTACGGTATAAGAAGCATATGTAAAGTTGCAATTTTGCCATTTTGTTGGAGAAAATATATACAGGAGATTCCTTATTGATTGTATAACACCATGAAATGTTATATAAGCAAGCGATATCTAGTGTGGTAGGCTAGAGGCTGTTAACAGCTATTTGTGATATACTAGTTATAACTCCGAGATAACTAACTATACATCACATACACTCAACTGTAGCTTGAGATTTCGGATTTCGGATTTCCGGTCTTATCATAGCTTAGGTGGTGTGTGTGTTTCTAATTCTAACCAGTATAACTCTATAGTTATATGTATATACGTTTTTAATAGATTCTCCGACGGGCCGTAATAGAAACTCCGGTATAAAATAGTTGGAGTTATCTGTGATCTATGAGCCCAAATGAAGAGCTGCAGATCCTAAATATCTTTACACTTTAAATTGCACCACTATCGCAGATTCCTATACTAAACATTATCTTCCCAAGATGACACCGCATCCTGCCCAGTTCCTCGCTGGTAAACGCATCATCGTCGCCGGCGGAAGTTTCGCTGCCCTATCTTTCGTCCTCGCTTTAGACCAGCTGTGGAACTCATCCCTCGACCGCCCCGCAGTTATCATCTATGAAAAGAATGAACGCGAGAAGTGCCTCGAAAAAGACCCCTACATTCTGAACATCAACGGAGCCAGTCGCGATGACGGACTCGTTGCTATTCAACAATTAGGCATTCTGGACGAAGTTCTCAAGCACGCGTCACGCAATGGCGGTGACATTCGCGTTTGGGGCGACGACTGGAAGTGGCTCTCGTCTATGAACCCAGAGAAATACGGCAACCTCCCTGCAGCAACAATCCGTATCTCTCGCGAGGAGCTCAAGCGCATTCTTCTGGAAAAAGCCGAGGTGAAACAGAAGGCCTTCAAATGGGGATGGGCTTGTATGAGGGCCGAACAAACCGGCGACGGAACGATGCGAGTTACGGTGTCCAATGATGGAGGCAAGACCACATCCTTCGAGCAATGTGACCTCCTCATAGCCGCAGACGGCGCAAATAGCGAATTGCGAGCCTGCTTCCGATCACACGATATGAAGACCACCTACATGGGAGCAAGTCAGATTGGTGGAGTCGCTTACCTTAAAGATGGAGTGCCGAAGCCCATCGACGAGGACTACGGCCTGCAAATGGACCACGGTGTCTGCTGTATCTATAATCCCTTTGACAGGAATAGGGTCGCTTGGGCTCTCAGCATGATGGGCCCTGCGCGAGAAACCAAGACAAACCTCAACGAGGGTGACTTTAAGGCTCTGAAGAATGAGGCTCTAGAGACAGGGCGTGTGTTTAAAGAACCCTTCAAATCAGTTGTTGAAGCCACAGTCCAAGATACCGCGTTTATTAGACCCGCAACCACAAAGGACGCTTTCCAACACGATGAACGTCTGGAGGGTGTGATGTTCATCGGTGACGCAAACCACATTCTCAGCCCCTATGAGTTTGTCGGAGCGAACCTTGCATTGAAGGATGGGTGGGATTTGGCGGAGCAGATCTGTCGCCATACTTCTATGAAGGCCGCGGCGGCTTCCTATGATGCCATTAGTATTCCTCGTTTTAATCACCCCTTCACTTTCCAAAACGAGCGTGTCCGGTTTGGCCATGCAGACGGTTGGAAGTGGTCAGCTTATAAAGTTGGTATGAAGGCTCAAAGGATGTCTAAGACGGTACACTAGATTTGGGTGTTTTTTTTTTCTTTGGTTTTTGTTTTAGATTTATTAGATCTTCATGGGAATTTCTTTTGCTTACATTAAATCCAAGTTCTCATATGAATACAGTCCAGTCCGGCCTTGTGATGCAAGCCCTTTCCTATTTTATTTTCAAGTCACTAGGGAGAAGAAGATAAATAGGGCAATGCCATAAAGGAATAGATAGCTCAAGGTAGGTAAACCTGGAGGATATGGTCCAAAGTTACGCGTGGAAAGCTTTCTGACCTCGACAGCGGTCATTTTAGTCAATTACACAGGTCTTCGGGGTTTGATATATGCATTGAATTATACTTGTGTTTCAAGAATCAACGCCAGTTTCAACTTATATGCTGTTCAGTTGGAAGGCAATATGTTAAACACCTGCTCCGGCTCCCATTAGTATCGCTCTGTCTTTCTCCTGTCCCCTTCACAGAATACCTCTAGATCTCCATCTAAACAGCCAATTTCATAGCCACCTCAATATGCGGAAACCTTTCCCTAATCACTCGAAACTTATCCAACAGGATATCCTTCGGCATAACCTGCAAATTATGAAAAGAAAGCACAACCCCCTGCATAAAAACAATATCATCAATCCGACTCGTCGTCTCCTCCTTCGTCGCCTGCGGCACATGAATCACCACATCAGCAATAGTATTAACAATCTCTAATAACTTGCTAATCATCGACGATCCATGCACCCGAATTGTGTTCTGCGAGATCTTCGTCAAAAACTGCCTGAGCTGACTCGACAGCCTCAACGGCATCTCCAGTTCCAACGACGGACACGATGCATGCGAACTAAGCAAACAATTCGACATAGCCATCTGCCACAGCAAGGTCCGCATCCACTGTCGCGTGATAACCAAATCCGCCTGCTGCAGCTCCGACAGTGCTGAAACTTCAACCTCCCACAACGCATCATCCAGCTCGCGGTGTTTCCGCTCAACCCATGACGCAGTCACCTGCGTCCGGTCCCCAATCCACAGACTGATAAACGACGCGTCAAGCATGCAGAACGTCTTGATCACTTGCGTCCAGCCCTGCTGGATTTCTATGCCCAAGAATGGGTCTTCTTCTGGATATTGCGTATGCGGGGGAAGTGTTACCGGAGAGAAATTCACGATCGACATGAATCTCTCGTGGATGAAGCATTGCCAGTAAAGTCGTTGGCGGCGGGCTCGCTCGGCCGTGGTGAGGCTTGCGTTGACGGTTTTGTCGCCGATGCGAAGCATCTGGATCATGCTTATTGCTTCGCGGAGGTGGAAAAAGCCCAGGTCGTAGTGGCCCAGACTCATGGCACACATCTGGATGAAGATGCTTGTTGTGGCGCGTAGGATTGAGGGCCGGAAGCCTATTACTAGTGGTTGTTGGGTTTCCACGGATTGGCGCATTAGGTCGGTTATTTGTGTTGAGGCTGGTTGAGGGCTGGGTTTGGTGGTGAATTGAGAAGAGCGCGTTAGGTCCAGAGTTACTGCGGTGAAGGCGTAGATGAAGGCTGCGTGCTCTCTTTCCGTGTTCATTTTTATGAGCGACTCGCGCACTTCTGTCTCGGTGATTATTGGACTGAAGGGGTATACATAGGACATGTAGGCTGGGAGTAGACTTTCAAAGTACGAGGTTGGTAGTTGCGGTTGAGATGAGGCTGTAGGTGCTGGTGGAGAGAGAAGTGGTGTCAGAGTAGTGGTTTTGGTGTTGGCGCTCTTGTATTTTGAGATGACCGCTCCTCGGCGTAGTGAGTGTTTTCTTGATCGCAATAAACGGTTCTCTGTGTATGTGCACATGAGATCCAGGTGCTCGCATTGTTGGCATCTTTGTTGGCCGTTGCAGCGAACTTTGCGGCGGTTACATGGGTCGCATGCTTTGGGGATTCGCGACTGAGAAGTTGGACTAGCCATTTCTTCTTTAAATTCAAGGACTTCGAGGGCCAGGGGTAGATTGATGTTTAGTTGAAACATGTACTTCTTTTCCCCGCGTTGGACGTTGAAGAGGCTTGGCACTTATGACTCTTTTAGCATAGCGCCACCGGGTTGTTCTCCGCATGACTGAAGTTGGTCATTGGAAGCGATGAGTGATTAAAATGTGCGACTTACCTAGGTAGGCCTAATCCGTACATATATGCATTATAAAAAAGCTTAATAAACCCGGGGGGAATCCGGGGTGACCCTGGGTGAAACTGGGTGAAGCTGGGATGCACAGTGGCTTTGGACCAGGTATGTCATAGTGTTGACGTAGAAGATTGGATATAAAGATCTGACTTGAATAATTCACGAAGGATAATCGATTGCAATCTGCTGTAATGATGTCTAAACCAATTTGAGTATGAGCTATCTAACCAGTAGTATAACTATCCCAGCCCTAAACCAAAAACACTCTACCCTCAAACGCCTGTAAGTCCTCCTTGTGCCCATCTACATTGCTAGCCAACAATTTCCAGTCTTCACTCTTCACAGAAGCCGGTTTCTCAAACTTCTGTGTTGTATCCGAGAAGTTGAGAACCACCAAAACGGTCTGGTCGTTTTTTGTCTTGGTATAGGTGAAGACACTTTGATTTGGCTCGTCGATGACCTCAAACTCTCCAAAGACCAGAAGATCGGCATACTCCTTGCGCAGCGCATTCATGTATTTCCAGAAAGAAAGAACAGAAGATGAGTCTTTCTCCTGGAGCTCCACATTGATCTCGGGGTAATTGTCATTCGGGCGCATCCACGGCTTCGCCGATGAGGCTGGTGAGAAGCCCGCATTGGCCTCAGCACTCCATTGCATGGGGAGTCTGGAATGATCTCTCGCCAGATGCTGCAGCGAGTCCATGACCACGCTCAACGCGGCCGGGTCGTCGCCAGACACTTTGCTTGCCATTCGATAGTAGTTGGTGCTATCGACGTCTTTGTATTCGTCAATCGTCCACTCCCGGGGCGCATTCACCATTCCAATTTCCTGACCCTGGTAGATAAACTGCGTGCCGGAAAGTGTGCTCTGCATCATGGCAAGCATCTTCGCAGACCGAACCCTCAACTCAGGTGTCTTGTCAGAGCCAAACCGACTCACAGAGCGGCCCTGATCGTGGTTTTCCATGAATACTGTGGTCCATGCATCGGTGCCCTTGATAATATCTTGTGTACTCTGCACGGCACTCTTCAGTTCTCGTAGGTTCCAGCCCGGCAAAGTGGTCAGGAACTTATAGTCCTTGCCATGGCCGAGTTCCACGATGTCGAATTGGAAGACCATGCTCAGCTGCTTCTCTGCTGCCGAGACATAGCGGAGAACACCCTCCACGGTATGTGTGTTTGGCAGTTCGCCAACGGTCATTGCATCGTATTTGGAAAGCACGTCGTTCATCTCGCGCATGTACTCGTGAATGCGAGGACCGTTGCAGAAAAGTGAGAAAGCAGGTTGTGTGTCAGACTTTGGATCAAGGATTGGAGCATTGGGATACTCGGGGTGCTTGCTGTACATGTTAACCGTATCGACGCGGAAACCATCCACGCCCTTCTGCAGCCAGAATTCCATCGCCTCCTCGTAGACTGCCTGACGAGTCTCGAGATTCTCCCAATTGACATCGGGCTGTTCAACACAGAAGAGATGGAGATAATATTCTTGTGTTGGCTCATCCCACTCCCACGCACTGCCCCCGAAAATACTGCGCCAGTTGTTTGGCGGCTGACGATTCCCATTAGCGTCGTATTTCGCTGGCTTCCAGATGTACCAGTCACGCTTAGGGTTTGTCTTTGAAGAGCGGGACTCTTTGAACCATTTGTGTTGGTCCGAAGTGTGATTCACCACCAGATCCAGAATGATTCGAAGTCCTCGCTTATGGCATGCATCGATGAGGGTCTCCATGTCCTGAACAGTACCGTATGGGCCATAGACGCTTTGGTAGTCGGCAACATCATAACCCATGTCAATCTGCGGGCTGTCGTACATGGGGCACAGCCAAACCACATCTACACCAAGGCTTGTGATGTAATCGAGGGACGAGATAATCCCTGGGATGTCGCCAATACCATCGCCATTGGAATCTTTGAAGCTGGCGGGGTAGATTTGGTAGATGATGGAATTTTTCCACCACTTTTCGCTAATTATAGCGGGAGACATGGTGGATGTAATGGATTGCAATGGATTCCAATGCAAGAAAAGATAATAGAAGAGAGAATAGAAGTCCAAAATAGGAGAAAGCGAGAAGGCCATATATATATGCCTAAAGCGTTAGATTTTTAGATAATCATTGCGCTAAGTACTTCTCCAAGACTCGACGATGGAGTCCAGGCTCCGATATCATGTAGGGAGGGGCATTGCTCTCATTGACTGAATGTCGGGCCGACACTCATTATCAGCAACGCTCTGTGCCACTCATTTGCCTGCATGGTCTCTGAATGCTGGACGGGCGTTTGGGGCTGTTTCAGTATGATAGGGATTCCCACTTATTCCTACTGAATTCCTACTAAATTCCCCTTAACCCCACGATCGGGACAACATACCGAACAGACCAAGTGTCTGACCATGTGAAATGCCGAGGGTACGTATGCCGATTCGTCTCTCTTTCCGGGTCTAACTGATCTTCGTTAGTTCAATTAACCAGAAATGAGGGGGAAAAGAGAGCAAGTCGGGCCGACATCTCACCAATCAGCTCGCGCTATTCCCCGGCCCCCTCTAACCGGATTGGGGGAGGCGACAGCCCTAAAGCGGCCAATACGAAGCACGGCTGGATGAAAAAGCCAATGAGAAAAAACTACAACGCACCAAACACTTCTTCATCCCTGGCCGGCCCGGCATTAGGCCAATCACAACTCTCCCAGAAAATCCGGGGATAGTGGGCTAGCCCAAGCCTATCCCGTGCAGACAAAACCGGGGAAGGCCTTCTCACGCCACTCCTCCCGCTTGTCACAGGAACTAAGCAAGGATTAAACTCGACGGACGAGTGGGCCAATGGAACCCCGGTCCTATCCTCGCTCATTATGGACGACAATCGACCACCATTAGCACAATTTTGTACATAAATGATCGACGACGCCCGCATGAAATACTTCTTTTCTATCCAGCCCCGTTCACATCGAGCAAAAATCCGGAATCATCCTCGGAGCCACCATTGGCAACCCCTACTCCAGAAATGGCTTCTGAAAAGCAAGCCATTGACCATGTCGAGAGACATGCCGACTCAATCGAACCAGCAGGCCATGTCCTGCCAGGCTACTCCGACCTCCAAACCACCACCGAAGCCCGCGCCGCCATCGAAAAAGAACACAACATGACCGCCATGGAGGCCCTAAGACTCTACCCCAAAGCCGTAGCCTGGTCCCTCCTCCTCTCCTGCGCCATCATCATGGAAGGCTACGACGTAGTCCTGATCGGCTCCTTCTTCGCCTTCCCAGCCTTCAACATGAAATACGGCGAACTCATGTCAGACGGCAAATACGGCCTTGCCGCCTCCTGGCAAGCAGGCCTAACCAACGCAATGAGCGTCGGTCAGATCCTAGGCCTCTTCGTTAACGGTATCGTCTCCGAACGCTACGGATACCGCAAGACCCTAATGGCCTGTCTCGCCACAACCGTCGGCTTCATCTTCATCCTCTTCTTCGCGCCCAACGTTCAGACCCTCGTCGCCGGGGAGCTTCTCATGGGTGTCCCACTGGGTGTCTACCAGACTCTCACCGTCACATACGCTTCAGAGGTATGCCCCGTCGCCCTGCGCGCCTATCTCACCACCTACGTCAATCTGTGCTGGGTCTTCGGACAGCTCATCGCCTCGGGCGTGCTGAAGGGCCTTGTAGGACACACCGACCAGTGGGCATACCGCATCCCCTTTGCTATCCAGTGGGTGTGGCCGGTGCCGATCTTCATTGGAGTGTACCTCGCTCCTGAGAGTCCGTGGTGGCTTGTTCGGAAGGACAGACGCGAAGACGCTATCAAGTCTGTGAAGCGGCTCACGCGCGCAGACCCCAACTTCAGCGCCGAGGAAACTGTCTCCATGATTGTGTATACGAATGCCATGGAGCAGCAGACTGAGACCGGTGCTTCGTATATGGACTGCTTTAAGGGGACTGATCTGCGACGCACGGAGATTGCGTGCTGTGTCTGGGCAGTGCAGAGTCTGTGCGGTAGCGGCCTGATGGGCTACTCGACTGTGTTCTACCAGCGTGCTGGACTGGCGGACTCGCAGTCGTTTACGATGTCGCTAGCGCAGTATGCGATTGGAGTTGTTGGTACGTTTAGCTCGTGGCTGTTTATGACGTACTTTGGTCGTCGCACGCTATATGTGGGTGGCCTAGCCATCTTGGCTGTTATCCTGTTTGTTATTGGGTTTGTGTCGATTCCGCCGGCGACTACCTCGCTCTCGTGGGCGACAGGATCCATGTTGCTTGTGTATACATTCATCTATGATTCGACTATCGGGCCGGTGTGTTTCTCGCTGGTTTCGGAGATGCCGTCGTCGAGACTTCGCACTAAGACGGTTGTGCTGGCGAGGAATACGTATAACGTGCTCAATCTGGTGACTGGTATTATTATTCCTTATATGCTGAATGTGGATGCGTGGAATTGGAGGGGGAAGTCTGGATTCTTCTGGGGTGGACTGTGCGTTCTCTGTTTTGTTTGGTCGTTCTTCAGACTTCCTGAGCCCAAGGGCCGCTCTTATGCTGAGTTGGATGTTCTGTTTGAGAACAAGGTGCGCACAAGGGAATTCCCAGCTGCGAAGACCGGTTTGGTGAAGAGTGAGCTCGAGGGTGAGAAAGGCTCGGTTTGAGGTGAATATGTGAAGTATAATATCTGGAGGAAGGATTTGGAGTATAGCGAGATTGACATGTAATATGGCACTTATCAGTGAAATAAATATTTCATATTGTTATAACTGGATCCTGAGATCGTTGAATCCCTTGTGTAGAGTTGAACGAACAATTAGGGATGTATTCCGTGGGATCCGCCAGTGACTATGGAGCCCAAATGCTCAGCCATGACTTTATCAAAAGATTCACACGAGAAATGATATTCGATCTTGGTGGGCATTGAGTATATGGCACGACTTTCAGCAACCGGGTAATGCTGATGTCTCTCCATAGATGTGCACGCACCATGTGTTTAGGGACCCTCCGCCTGCGCTGTCTCATGGGGGCTACGGTGAAATGGTGGTCGAGAGGGTTGGGGAGAGGAAGAAGAGAAGAAAAGAGAAGAAGTGAAAGGGTGGGGGGAAGCCTTTTATATGTTCACGTCCCCGGTACCTTCCCGAAATGGATGGCCGTTTGCTCCTGCCTCCTTTTTACCTCTCGGGGTTACTGGTTGTAGCAGGTGACCATGAGGAACCCTCCTTTGCATATTTCTTGCAAATTCAGGGCTTATTTTGAGGAGATTACCAATGAGAGAAAAGATGTAGCAGTAAAATTAATAACAGCATGGGATATCTCGACAAGATTATAGCGGGCAGTAGCCCCATACGAAGACCATTCTCTTATAATACTTCTGAATTTGGTAGGAAATGCTGTTCGTACACAAAGGAATATTTGCAAAAAATAAATAAGACAAGAAGCAGATGAGTATAATCATTAAACCAGGTATACGCCACCTATGACATTGAAACAAGGAAACAATTTTTGAGATCCCCATTCAGAGATCGATATATCAGTTATCCACCAAGAACTTCATCCTGATACCCATAGCGGCCAACTCGACATCCAAGTACCGCAGCACACCAGGAACAGCAACGATAGTAACATTGTCACCACCGACGTAGCGGTGTCCATCACCGTCCTCCCAGACCTCAGCACGGGAGTCATCGAAGGTAGCCTCACGGGCACAACGACGGCAACGCACAACACCATTGACACCACCGACAGCACCAATAGCAGCACCAGCATGAGCATTGGTGCTCTGCTGGTTAGGAGCAGCCTTGGCAGCGGCAGCAGCAGCACCAGGGTTAATAGCCGTGCGAGAGCGGGACGAGCCGGAAACAGCAACCTGCGTGGACAGGAAGGAGCCACAGCAGCGACAGATCCAGGTGTGCTGGGCGTCGGAGCAGTTCATGAGACGATCCTGCAGCAAGAAGGCCGCACCGTGAGCAATGAGCGAATCACGCTCCATCTCTCCGACACGGATACCACCACCCTTCGCACGACCCTTCACGGGCTGGCCCGTGAGCGCATTGACGGGACCAGTAGTACGCACTTGGAACTTGTCGTTCACCATGTGACGCAGACGCTGGTAATAGACCAGGCCCATGTAGATGTCGGCGGAGAACTCGCGGCCCGTGACACCACTGTACAACGGCTCGTTACCGTAGTAGTTGTAGCCGGCTTTGCGGAGCTGCTCGCCGAAGTAGTCGGTTGCGGTGTTTTCTTCGGAGAATTGGAAGGGAGTAGAGTCTTGTGGGAGACCGTGCATGGCACCTGCTTTGCCGGCCATGGACTCGATCATTTGGGCGATTGTCATACCTGGGAATAAATGTTAAACGTGGGAATACATTTCATGTTAAGAGCAATGGGAACGTACGGGATGGGAAAGCGTGAGGGTTGATGATCAGATCGGGCTGCATGCCGCTCTCAGAAAAGGGCATGTCGACCGCAGGCCAGAGTTGAGACAAAACACCCTTCTGACCGTGACGAGAGGAGAACTTGTCACCGATGACGGGCTTTCGGGGAATGCGGTACTTGACGCTGAGCGATTGAGCGGGCTCGTTGCCAGACTCGGAACCCATGAGGCGGATGCTGTCGACGTAACCTTCTTCGGCATCCTTGTATTTCATGTAGTGGGTGACTCCATCGACATTAACATACGAGTCGGAGGCGGGATCGAAGCGGACATTGTGCCAGGCCGCGATCTTGTCACCTTCCTTGACGCGAGCACCCAGGTGCGGCATTCCATCCTCGTCGATAATGTTGCGCACCTGCTCTTTGACCTCGTCGCCGGGGGCGAATCCAAACAGCTTGGTGACCTCACGCTTGGACTTAGTCCGGCGGGAGTCGTTATCGGCTAAAGTTACGACCTTGGTCTTGTAGACTGTACCGTGACCGAAGCCACGTTCGTGTGCGGACTTGTTGATAATCATAGCATCGTCCATGTCGTAACCGGTGTAGGAGATAATAGCCACAACTGCGTTCATACCGTTGGGAAAGTTGTCCAGACCGTAGGCGTTGTAGAGAGGTGGCCGCACAATTGGCGTTTGACCCGTTTGGATGCGGTACAACTTGTTGTCAGTACGGTGGGCAATCGAAGTACCTGGCGTACCCATGGTTTGTTTGCTCATCTGACATTGGTACATGTTACGTGGAGATTGGTTGTAGTCGGAGAAGGGGGTCATGTTCGCGACGATAGAGAGGATGTTCGTGGGCGTGAACTCAATATGGGTCGAAAGACCGGGGATCAGATCAGACTCCACACAGGCAATCTCCATGAAGGGCTGCTCGAATGGTCCGACGTAATCCAGCTTATCCAACGCGAGATACTTAACGGGGCGGTACATTCTCGCTGATTGGGAGAACATGTAGACACCTGGGTATTGACCGCCGCTTGAGTTGGGAATATATCCAATTTCCAATTCACGAGGGATGTTGTTTTTGCCTTCGACCTTCCAGTACCGGATGGTATCGGCGATTCTCTGGGCCTGCTTGGGCGAGCAGTAACCAATGATTCGGCCATCCAACTGGACGACCACGCTCTCGTCCAGAGCCACGGAAGACTCGGACTTGACACCAAGCTGAACCAGAGTCCGGGGCAGATGAGATACATCCAGGTTATCCGTAGAGATCAAACACTTGTGCGACAAATGGTTGAGCAGACCGCAAGGCGATCCATCAGGAGTGTGAACGGGGCAAAGGAAACCCCAACTTTCTGGTAGCAGTTTGCGAACAGTGGTAGTCTTCAACTGAGCGAAGAAACTACCACGGTGAATCATGCGGAAGTGACTGATGAAACGGTAGAAGTTGATCTTCTCTGCAATGACGGTGTAACCTGAAGTTTGTTGCAAATCAAGACCCGTAGGACTGACCAAGTTACCAGTGGAGAGGAAGTACTCGAGCGCATTACCAATATTCTCGTTTGACCGCTTAACGATCTTGGAGAGGAAGTCTCGTTCGAATGCTTCATCCGTGAACTTTGCGCCATTGTTGCGGATGGACCAATCTCGGGCAATGGGACCGAATGAACGGAGCCACTCCTCGATACGCTCCTTGAGGATCATTCCGTAAAGGAAGCCACCAAGCAGAATTTCTTGGTTGGAGACGGCATCGGGATTGTCAGGTGCACAGTCCCCTGCGACTGTGGAGTAAAGCTTGCGGATCATGAAGGTGATCAACTTGAACTTGTCCCAGTCTTGGGTCTCGGTGACATTCTCATTTCCAAGATGGGGGAGAACAACCTTGCGGAGGAACTCTGTGCCAACTTCCTCGTCGGGCATGTCAGCGGGGACTCCGAGCACAGGTCGGAAAGCCTTGCCCAGGTGGGACCGGCAATCGTACTGGCTGTGCTTCTGGTAGGCGTGGTAGGTTCTCAACAAAAGCTCAACACGGTCTGTGACGAAAGTGTTGTTCATGCCCTTGGAGGAAGCACCACCGACAATGGCCTCGAAAATTTCGCGGTCGTTGGTCTCTGCGAGTGCCTTGAGAATCATCATCACGGGGATAAGGTATTCATTCTTGCGCCATGAGAAACGGAAGGTGACGTTTCCATCGGAGAGGTAGTGAAGCACGTTGGTCTGCGAAGTCTGATCGGGACGGACCGATCGTATTTGAACACCGAACTTTGTGTAGGTCTGACCACGCTTGACGAAAGAACCACGAATGATGGACATGGGGTAGTTGCGCTTACCGACGATCAGCATACGAATGAGCTTCTCGTTACCGTTGACAATGTAGAAACCGCCCAGTTCCTCCGATTCTTCATTGTGTCGAACAAGCTCATCAGGGGTGGCCTTCTCGAGGTGACACCGGTTGGTGCGCACCATAATCGGGACATTACCCAGCTCGCGGACAGACTCCATCCAGTCTCCATTGTTGACCTGGTACTCGAGGCGAGCGCGGAGCTTACCACGGTACGTCGCGTGGCGCTCTCTGCATTCCGAGGGGTAGATTTCACGGTTTCGGGTGGTGTACTTGTTGGTCGGGGGGAGGGTAGGCTTTTCGAGGAAGATCTCACGCACGCGGACGTTTAAGCGATTCCGCTTTGGCGGGCGAACGCCTTCTGCTTGGCGGGCCTTCTTCTGCTCGTAGGTTTCGAGTTCACCATCGAGGAAGGTCTTTGTGCCGATATCCTTCAATCCTGCCTCTAGGATCTTGCTATCGTCGAAGAGAGCATTGAAGGAATCGATATGCGGTCGAATCGATTCGGCCAGCGATGGATAAGCCGTGTGATCCGTGGGAGGATTCTTGAACAGGTTCTCCCGTCGCAGGGTGTCGTATTCGACTGACCACTGGGTTTCTGTGGCTGCGGGTGCCATGATGGAAATTCGCAGCTCTCAAAAGCCGGTTGATGCGGTATAGAAAAAAGACTGAACGGCACAATAAATGTGACCGTCAATGTAAAGATAAAAGCGCGACAGTATCGGTTCGATTCCTCCGCCCAATATTATATCAGCCACTAGACCACAGGAATTGAACCGACAATGGCAGCTGCCAAACGAAGATGAGAGATCTGTTCTGCTTGGGGAAATTTTTCGAGGGTGGAGCCGGATGCTTATCCTCACGTGGTGATATGCATTGTGGCCTGAGGCCAAATTGAGGTTTCATGACCAAAATTTGACGTTCAGAGGTTGCCGTTCATCCCATTCATATCCAGTTCAACTGCAAGTTCCTGACATGCTCTTGAACCCCTAATCCTGGTAAACTCTAGCTTGATTAAACTTGCAACACCAACGACCCAGAAATGTGGAAATTTTTGTAACGCTACACGGGCTAGATATGCTGCATAACGCTGTTCACCCCTCCATTTTGAGGCCAATGGAGCCTAAGCGCCCTCGGGTCATGTGTGTAGGTAAATCGGTCAATTCTCCATAGAAAAATAGTAGATCCAATATCCTTGAATATCCTTTTCTATTGATATCTGCCGGCGGTTATCCCCTTAAAACGTCCTTCCCTCTAATAATAGGCCGTTTTAAATGGTTGCTTCTAGGTTGATCTCTTGTTACGGTGTGACGATCTTGCTTTTTTTTTTCTTTTCTTTTTTTCTCCCTCTTTACCTTTGATCTCTTCTTCAAATCCAGAAATCCAAGAATATCAACCTGTTGCGCAGTTACAAAGTTGACCCCACCCTCTGGCTTGTGTCATCCTGAGCTTTTTCACACACACAAGGCAACTTCTCAGCTCCTAATCTTTCTACTGGCTTTCGTTTTTTTTTTGGTTCTATTCAACTATACTTTCTTTCTCTTTTCTCTTTTCTCTTCTCTCCTTTTTTCATTTTCATTTTTATTTTCATATTCCCCTCTCTTCGTCATGGCCGGCATATTTCGTGCTATCTATGACTGGCTTCTGAGGATGTTCTGGTAAGTGGGCCGTTTGATAGATGCAGTTCTCGGGAGACCACGGCCCGTCCCCGCAGATGAAGCCATGCTGAACTTCATATAGGGCCAGCGAGATGGATGTCACCATGATCGGTCTTCAGAATGCTGGCAAGTCTTCTCTGCTGCGTGTGTTGGCGGTAAGTCGATCTGATAAGTCCTTCTGATAAGTCCTTATGGGTCCCCGATTGCTGACATGGAATAGGGTGGAGAGTTCACTATTGAGTAGGTTATAGATGGTCTCACATCTGAGATCATTCCATCCCAGCCAGTTTCTAACTCCTCATAGCTCCATCCCGACAATCGGATTCAACACCAAAAGAGTGCAAAAAGGCCATGTGACCTTGAAATGGTATGTTCATCCTTCCCGATCAAGCACAGCGGCGCTAATATATCCCCGCAGCTGGGATCTGGGCGGCCAACCTCGATTTCGGCCGATGTGGGAACGGTATTGTCGGGGCGTCAACGCGATCGTGTAAGACTTGCTTATTTTCTCCATTTTTTGGGTCGTCTCTCGTCTCTCCCTTCCAGCATATTAACCTATGTCAATAAAGGTATATTGTGGATGCAGCAGACCGCGCCGCACTCCCAGTAGCGACAGAAGAACTTCACGACCTGATGAAAAAGCCCACACTGCATAGTATCCCTCTCCTGGTCCTCGGGAACAAGTCCGATCTTCTAGACAAGCTGTCTGTTGATGAGATCATTGAGGCCATGGATCTGAAATCCATCACTCATCGCGAAGTAAGCTGTTATGGTATCAGCGCCAAGGAGGAAACCAATCTTGACGCTGTCCTGCACTGGCTCATTGCCCGAGCTAACCGATGAGGATACTGTCCCTTGTGTGTCTGCCTGCTTTAACCTTTGACCTCGACTCGCGATATCCCTTTCGTTTTCATTTTCATACCCTTGACTGTCTCGCATTTTGATTGTGTACATACCCTGTAGACTCTAGCGTGTTTGGCCCGCAGCTTCGGATGTAACGTTGTTGATGTAGTCTTGTTTTCTTTTCTTGTGTTCATGAATTCGAGAATTCATTATGATGATGTATGTTAATGGTCATGTGTGTTTCGTGTGATCCATGCTCTGTTTCTTTATCGTTTTTTCCCCTGGGTCGCTTTTCTGAATTGATGTGTATTAGAGTATTTCGGCAATGCTCACGCGGGAAGAAATTATCAGAAAGTCCACCTGGGTAGGGATGGCCAATATAAATAACCCAAACACGGACCACCCCGGCATTGATGTGTTGGCTGCCAACGCATCGATGCAGAAGAATAGAGCGTCCCCGCCAATGGACATCTCGCATTAAACACATAATGTGGATGGTTATATTAAAGCCGGAAACATAATTCTATTTCAAATCGTTCAGATATCATTAGTAGTATTTGTTACTACTCGATGTCTTTACATAGTTGATTTACACTGCTGTGCACCTTCATGTCTTGCATATTATTCTCAGACAAATCAAATCAAGTGGCATTAGTCGTACACAGAATATCTAGATCAGTTTTGTAGGCCCTTCCTTGCAGACAGGTCAGATCCGGAGTTGCTCAAAGCCCCCTTTCAAGCGCCCAAGATAGCGCAGTAACGCCCATAAACATCAAAAACGAAAACCAACACGAGTGAAATGCGAAGATATGGAATCATTTGCAACGCTTCTCCACAATGTTCGGCCCATGCTCTTCGTACTCCTTCTTGGATATCCACATCTGGTGGAAAGTTCCCAAACTAGCCAGGATACTTCCTCCAATCCAGGAGCCGAAGCGTCGCTCGGAGGTGTTACCGGGAGCAGTAACACGCACCCTGGGACCAGGGAACATCTGCATCAGTTCATGGTTCAGACGATCAGTGAATCCATAAAGCAAGCTGGATCCACCGGTAACCACGACATTAGCCAGCAGGTGGGGGCGGAGGTCGACGTCAACGCCGGCCAAAGAAGCCTTGACAAGTTCTGGGATGGTCTGGGCGGGTGTCGGGGGAGGGAAAGACGAGTCGGGGTCTGGAATGGCAGCCTTGGCATCAAACAAAGATTCCACCGCGCGGAAACGCTCGACACCGAAGACTTGGTTGTACCCATCGGGGAACTCGAATGGGCGACCGGGGGTAGTTCTAGCCATATCTTCGTTGGAGACGCCCGTGGGGCTGGGAGCTGAGAGCCTTGTGGGTCCGGGCCAAACCTGGACGACACATTCCTTGAACTCGGACAGTGTGCGCTCCTCAAGGAGAGCACGGTACGACGCATCGGGTGCCTTGTCGGCGGGGAAGGTCTTGTATATCGCTTGGGGCGGTTGGCCAGCTTCGACAGCCGACTTCGAGCTGATAAGGTAATGCGGCGTGATTGTGATGGGTTGTGGGGAGTTGGCCTTGAAGATTGCCTTGATCTGCGACGAGATGTAATCACCGCCCAACGGAGAGTGCTGCACGCCCCGTTTCAGGATCATGCCATCGTGGATCGGGGTAACAGAGATGTTGGAAGCTCCAATGTCAATAACAAGGGCGGATGCCTTGCCGGAAGCGAAACTACGTATGGAATCGGGTCAGTAAATGGTAGACATATCATAGTCAATGGGCCTGGGATACGTACGCCGCAAGAACACCAGTGCGCGCGAGATAAAAGGCCGGGGTATCCCATTTCTCCATTGCAATTTCAATGGTCTTTTCGCGTGCCTTTGCTGGGTTCCATCCAGGCTCTGTCATCAACAATGGGCTGTCTGACAAGGGCTTCTCCTCTGACTCCACCTCCATTTCCGTAGGGAGCTCGTCTGCGGAGACATCGTTTAATCCGTTCTGGAAGGGGTTGCCCGCTTTCGTGCCGGTAAGTCGCGACATAAATGAGTGCTCCCACACTCTCTCTGCCATATCCCAATCCTCGACGATTCCATCCTTGCCAATCGGATTGTAGATAGACAGACCGGGTCGTGGGGTAACGAATACGTCGTCGCCAAATACGAGCTTCTCTTGGCCGTCGGCGTTGTATTTTCCATAGTAGGTTGGGATCAGTGACTTGGGAGCATCTTCACCGGCAAAACCCGCGCGAGTGGTTGAGTATCCCGGGTCTAGGACAATAGCAGACACCTCATCTGTAGTCGTGCGATAATTAGCAAATTGCGCGGTGAATAGAGGCCAAACGTTCTTTGGGATCGCAACAGCAAGCGCAATTGGAATGGCATATTTGGGATCACATACCTCCACCGTACTCGGCAGCTTGAGGTGGGTTGGAAGGGTTCATCGCGAAAGTTGTGCGGGTATATCTAGGGAGTCGTAGCCGTCACGATGATTATGCGGATATTTTGGATTAAGTCGCGTGAAGACAAATCAAGACGTGACCATGCGTATCCGACGGACAATCAGAGAGGTTGGTTGGAGGCAGGAGAAGGGCGGGTCTTTTTGGTGCGGGTGTAGCTTTGGCTTTAGCACCCAAACGGGCAGTCCAAGATCTAGCTTAGTCATTCGCGGTCAACAGTTGTGCTGACTAACCAGGGCACAACTTCAGGACATTATATATCACCCTTGTATTCGCATCCTTTTCATAGTTAGATATTGGAGCTGTATGACGTATTTGAAAAGTATGGGCTATACGAGAAAGTAAAGATAAACTAGGAACGGTGAAAACAATATTCAGCTATTGGAGTATCCACACCAACCACCTGCGGTGTCTCTAGATATATATATACAAAAACTAGTATGCCTCTGCCCTTAGCAAGTAAAGATTTTGTGACCTAAATATCCAATTAGCTCGAAATAATACCGTAGACTTTGTAAATACTACAATACTTCCACTCTATCTTAATATTTGGGACTAGAAGGATACATGTGGCCGCAAATCGCAGATCACCCGCGGTTGAAAGCAGTCCATATACTTAGTCGGTAGCCCTTTGAAAAGGACACTGGAAATAGCATTGGCGCAAAAATCATTATGGTATCGTGGGCATGTCGAGTAAAAACAGATGTCGCAGAGGATCAAGTACGTAAAGTCCATATCAAGTAAAACCAGACGTTTTGGATGAGAGAAACAATCATTTCTTTCCCGCCTGTGCTTCTTTTTCCCGCATTGCAGCTCTTGCACTGCGACTGCCTCCAAGCTTAGGACCCCGAGGCGCTTCAACATTGGCCACCGGTTTTGCTGCGGGCCGAGTCCGACGCCGAGACTGCATCGCATCCATAAAGTCTCGCCTGAATTGCTCGGCAACTCGGTCATCAGCAGCCTGTTGGTCATCAAGCTGTGGTTCCTCGTGTTCATCATAAATTTCCACTATAACAGCTAGTGTTAGCAAAGACACAGATCATATAAGATTTCACTTTGGAATACCACACACATTTGCTCTCACGTAGTACCTCCTCCACAAGACGATCTCTTGCGATGTCTGCTTCTGTCCTCTGTTTACGATTGCGCCATGACTTGCCGTCTGAGCCAGGCCGACCCGTCTCTGACGCAGCATGGTCCACTGAGATCGGCAGCTCTCCCTTCTCCATTTGTCGAGTCGCAGCTTCTGTCCGCGCAATGTTTCGTAATGTGGCTTCATGGCCGAGGTCGATTTCATGGAGTTTACCCAGCGATGCAGGTTCGCGTGTCTGATGTCCTGGCAGCGACAGCCCCCCGGCGACTTCCTCTTGCGTTGGTTGGTTGGAAACTGAGTGATCCACTTTTGAATCAGGCTGGTAGCGCTTAGCCATCTCGGAATCTATGAATGCCATCCTTATCTCGTTAGCCCACATCAAACGAGTTGGACGATCAGCCGAAGCAAAGAATTCGTACATGTGCTTGTCAACATCAACTGTCTGACCGGTATATCCTGTGAAACGTTCATTCATTGCTCGTATCTTCTCATCCTCAGTTTCTCCGGCCGCTGGTACGAGCGCTAGTTGCTGGCCCTGATTATCTCCTAGTCGTGATGCGGTAGAAAATCCAATGCCGCCCTTTCTAACTGCGCGTGGACGCCGGATATTATTGCTTTCAGGAGTTTGTGACGCGCCATGATTGTCATTTTGATTATCGGCCTCTTCGGTGTCTGGGGTCTCATGCTCGGGACGTCGTCGCATGAACTTGCGCCTTTTTGCTGGCCGAAACAGGGGCTCGGTTGGCACAACATCTTCTTGTGGATCCATTGTGATTTGCGACAACGTAAACTTGGGTGGCAGGAGAAAGACGAGCGGGAAATTAATTGTGAAGGTGAGGTCATTTAGCAGTGCAGACAAACTACAATTCGCTGATTCCCGACCGCCTTTTATTCTGCCTACTTTATCGGGCTCATGAAAACACATAATGAGATCATAACATGTAAACTCCCCTGTTTGTTCAAATTTAAATACAAATTCGGATATGGTATTAGGATATAAATCTGCAATTTCCTTTGAGCCTGGCCTCAGTTTTCTAGCAAATGGAGGGGACTGTAGGACCCTATAGTAATAATTCAGACATATGAGGCCGCATAGTAGAGATATAGTAGGCGGTCAAGGCCTACATGATGGCTATAGTTAGGGGGTTCACCAGGGTCTAGCCAATATAATAGTTCAAATATAGTCGATGATGCAGTCGATTTTATGTTTATAACGAAGCTAAGTGAGGCTAACTAGAGGTAGCTGAAGTAGAGATTGACATGGCCGAGCTGGTCAGGTAAGCTAATTGTCAAGAATCTCCATCTCCAAGTGACCAAATAGGTCTTGCCGGTGATTTTACAAACTCAATCTCAATAAGGATAGAGCTGAAATGTGTATCATCTTCAAGACCGGATATAATATCGAGAAAGTTGTCCGGTGAGCCCCATATCCCAGGATCCACCTATCCGGTCATAATTCTAGCCTCGCAGTGCAGAACTGGGCATTGATTCTTAGATGTCAGTTTCCCCGACGGGTCAAGGTGTCAGCCCAAGACGGTATATCAGACGGTATACCATCTGGCATCTCGGCGTGCGCGTCTGCTAACTGATATATTCGTGTGTACAGTTGAATCCTGTAGTTGACGATCCTTCTTATTGTGTTATAGTAGGAATATATTTTTACTTGATTTCCTTCTAACAACACGGGGGTGAAACCCCTATCAATACAGTCTACCTATGTGTGTATGTTGTAGTGTACGTAGGAGAATAAAGTATGAGATCAAAGTTTATATTAGAGTTTGAACCTTGGAAGTGGTTCTAACCTCCTGAGGGTGTGGGAGTTTGATTCTCGGAAAGAGGTTTCCTGTGTCTCTAAAATCCATATTAATTGAGAAAATTCAATTTAGCCGAATAGCCTAATATACCAAATTTACTACGTATATGTGCCTTGGCAGAGACCCTCATCAAGAGGCCCGGGATACTAATACCACTAATACCTTGGCTCTCGGGTGCGCAATTCGGACAGAGTATATCTTCCATAGAAGACCGGGGAGCTTGTAGTAGGTGATATTGTTTCAGGTGTTGATTACAGATGAGTCGAGACACAAAGGTAAGATAATACTTTCCATTACCGAAGTGAGATGCAAACCTCTTGAATTGCGAGGGAAGGTCGAACTTCGAATGTCGTAGTTTAGAAGGGGCGGGAAACCGGGTCACGCGCACTGATAAAGGCATGTGGATATGACGCGCTTAATTTAGCCATTGGCAATTAGCTTCTAGGGCCAATTCAAATATTATTAATACTAATATCGATCCTTCAGAGCTCAGCTGGGCAGTATTCCCGAGATCGGGGATTTTCAGACGGCAAGTTGTACCCCGTGCCTAACCGATGTACGTTTTCTCGCTGATGCCATATATGCATAAAAATTTGTAACATGATTCCGAATGGGTCGGATGGGGGTCTATCATCTGACCTGATCAAGGATTGGAAGTGATAGATGCAAAAAACCGAAGCATATCAGGACACTACGGGGGAGAAAGGCCGAGAAGATCCTTGGGTTAGGGTAGTTGAGGTTCCAAGCTATCCGGTGTAGATGCTCAGATGCTCGCATGTTCTTTCAATCTGGCCGTTACAAAAACCGCTGACATACGTTTGCTTAATTCATCTGTTTGCTTATTGGTTTACTTTTTTACCCTTATCATAGTCATCCGCTAGACCCCGCAAATAATGTTGAAATCTCTGACTGCGGGTGAGCCGAATACGTCCACGGTGTGGAGGCATCATCTTGACCGAGTCTTTCTCAACAACACTCCTCGGACATCTCTCGGAGAACGCGGGAAGGGATCCACCAGGGAAGAATGCGATGTACACCGCAAAGGACAACATAGGTGGCTTGCCTAACGAGAATGAGACTTCCCTTTTCTTTTTCGTCATTCCAATGAGACAATCCCCCACGATTTGAATGTAATAAAACAGGTGTACGATAACACGGGCAAATCCGGAGAGTGACCGAGATGGTGGGGTGCATTGTGTTTCCCCTCGGCACCCCAGGTTCGATTCGCTGATATCTTGGCACTTGGCGCAAGTGGACAAGCCTTTAGGGCTAGGTCAAGCCTTTCCTTGACCTATCAATGCCGAGACCGGCCCGAGTTAGGCAATGAGTGCCCAGGAACCAAACCGAAAATTGCCCAGGTGGGAAATGTCTGAAATTTAATGCCGGCATTAGTCGGAAAATAAATTACTCCAAACACTTCCATATTCTGTAATATAAGAGATGGGATGAAAACCCCGTCTGTGCTCCGATTTTCGGCATTTCCTCCAATCAATCCTAGACAGTCAGCCAGTCAGCCAGATCATCCCGCCACTGAACTCAGATTTTCGGCCCTAAGCCCATGGATTAAAGTGGTCTTTGACTCGGAAGTGGCAAAGGGGCAGGATCCTTACACGCCGGGATTAAACCTACCCCGTGGAGTCGGCGACGCGACCGAGTCACAGTCGGACATTTGTCGAAATTTGACCAAAAAAAGTGGTACCTTGGTGGAGACATGTTACCCACTGGGGAATTCTCCAGCCCACAGGTACAGAATACTGTACAGCATGTATTGATTTTTCTGATGCGGGGTCTCCACGAGGAAGTTGACCGAAGCAGGGTATAAACCCACGGAGAGACCCGGCCGCCCTTTTCTCTTTGATTCTCTCATCCCTCAGAGTGGCCTTCTCTACACACACTCCAACATGGTCACCCTATTCCGAGGAAAGGCGCTGAGCGTAGCGCAGGCATTGCTCATTGTAGCACCGGCCTTCATCGTCTTCGGTTACAACCAGTCTGGCTTGGGCCCTCTGGCTACATTGCAGAGCTGGGTCAGTATTTTCCCTGAAATCGACACAATCAACACCACGGGTGCCCAACGCGCGCAAAACTCCACAGGAAAGGGTACTGTG